CCCCCCCCCCCCCCCGCAAAAAAAAGAAAACTCAACACCGAAGGGTTGGGCCCCTGGAAGCCTCGATTTGCAACCGTCAGGTCGACATATGTTCGAGCAGGTGCCCGAGGTCTATACAGGGAGTGCCTCCACTCCTGGCGCCTGAGGGCCATCCGCCTTCGGCGTACGATGCGATCGGATACGATAGGTGTATAACCGTACTCGATAGTTTTGTTTGCATATGTGCATGTAGAGTCTATAGGGACAGTAGGACAGCCTGACGGAAATGCTCCACCCCAAAGCGGGCCGCCGCGGAGCGTCTGAGTTTTCAGACAAAGGCACCATGAACGCAGCACACTTGCTGGAGAACTCTTGATCATGCTCTCTTGTCTTTTTTCCTAAAGCATCAACCCCTGGCCTTGCCGGTACAGATCAATGTTCCGGAATCCTTTCGTGTTCATCCGTGCGATGGTACGCAGATTTCGCCAAGTCGGTCTCTAGTTTCGCAGCCACGCGCAGGCGGGATTTTTTCTCGTTACTTCCAAGATGAAGGCCCCGATTGCGAGTGCATGATGCAGGCAGACGCCTCTATACCTGGGCCATATGTTGCTTTGGTAGCTCTGACTCAGTTCGCCTTTAATGGCTCTTGTCGGCCCGTCCTGTCCGTCATCTGCTAAGTCGACACAGGCCAAGCGTGTTGATGTCGAAGGCGTCTCCAGTCCATGTAGGCCTGATCGACCTTGATTAAGGAGCACCCTGTTTCAGTAGGAATCCGTGACCGAACGCAGGAGATCGCACATCCCCTCCTGCGCCGATATTTGTGGGTGTTGCACCCAGTTTCATTCGCGCAATGTGCGGGGGAGAATTGCCACCGCCTCGATGCGCATGAAGACCTTGATCAATTGCAGGCAAGTGTGAAACACTGTTTGCATACGAAAATCCGAAGCACGGCAGCATCAAGCCACGTCTAGCCAACAGCCCAGCCATGGCTCCTTCCACATCCTCCATGGTGCTCGGCGCAGCCGCCACGGCCTGGTTCACTGGCTTGGCCTTCACGGCTCCAGGACAGGTCCGCACAGCCCCGGCACAGGCACGGCCAGGAAACGTGCGCGGTGCCCGGGCACAATCTGGCAGCACCGGCTTCAGTGGAGCCACTGCTCTTGGAGGCGTTTGTGTGACTATGGCCCTGGCGAGGGGCGGAAAGTCCATGAGAAAGGCGCTGAGCCAGGATGAACTCAAAAAGATGGTTGGCTACAAGGCCGTGGATGACTACGTGCAGAGTGGCACGGTGATCGGTCTCGGCACAGGCTCCACCGCCGCCTTCGCTGTGGAGCGCGTTGGTGAGAAGTTGAAGTCAGGAGAGCTCAAGGACATCATCGCCATCCCGACCTCCATCCGCACCCAGGACCAGCGTTGGAGAAGCGGAGCGGACCCGATAGAACCCTACCTAGTCCAAGATCCTCAGTCTCACAAGGATCCGAATAAAGGAGTCCCTATAGTGTCTTAAGAAATCCCCAGCAGGAACAGGCGGAGAGCCTGGGCATTCCCTTGGCGACCCTGGACACCCACAGTGACTTGGATGTGGCCATCGATGGTGCGGACGAGGTAGATCCCGCTTTGAACCTCGTGAAGGTGGGATAAGACTAGGTGGGATAAGGGCTGAGGGGGCGCAAGGGTTTGGGTTCTCCGCAACTGTCATCCCATCTCCGAAGCCCTCCTCAGGGTGGAGGTGGGGCACTCTTTCGGGAGAAGATCGTGGAGATGTGCGCCAAGAAGTTCATTGTCATCGTCGATGAGTCCAAGCTTTGCGACGGCCTTGGCCCTGGCTTCCCGGTCCCTGTCGAGATCGTGCCAGGGCCTTGCTACTTCTTGCTGTTGCCCTTTGGTAGTTAAGACTTAAGACTTGAAGAGTCTCCCAAACCGAAGGCAACAGTTGATGTTTTGAGCGACCGAGCATAGGTGCCCTTCTGCCACGAGCACACCATGCGCAAGATCGCCTCGCTGCCGGCGCTCAAGGGATGCGAGCCGGTGCTGCGGTTGGGCGACGTGGCAAACAACCAACCGGATGGAGATGAGCCGGCAGTGACTGACAACGGCAACTACATCGTGGATCTGTAGCTTGGCTTTCAGAAAGTACTTGGAAAGGTTCTATTCTGATGGCATCTTGCTCGCAGGCTTTGACATCGCGTAATGTAGGGCTGCCTGGAAGTGCGTGCGATTCTACGTCTGGCATACGTATCCGAAGACGTGTCTGTCTGTCTGTCTGTCTGTCTGTCTGTCTGTCTGTATGTATGTATGTATGTATATATGTCTGTATGTATAGAATATACACACGCATGTGTACAGACGTGCGTCTGCATGCACGTGTGCCTGCATGTATGTATGCATGTATGTATGTATGTATGTATGTAGGTAGGTACATACATAGGTGTACGTATGATATATATATATATACATATTATATATGTATGTATATATATATACACATATATTTATGTATATAATATAGAGAGAGAGAGGAATGTACATATGTGTATACATTCATACATACATTCATACATACATTCCATTACATTAAGTTATTTCATTACGTTACATTACATTACATTACATTACAGGACATTACATCACATTTATAGGTTACATCACGTTACATCACGATACATACATACATACCTACGTACGTACGTACGTACGTACGTACAGACAGACAGAGACAGACAGACAGACAGACCAGACA